TCTGTAATTTTTGGTGTAGAATAAAATTGCAAAACATTTTTTCAAAGGTCCATAATGATATTTTTGCTATTCATTTTGATTGGCTTTTCATCGTTATCTATATTGTAGTTTATTTTACTAGTGTTTTCTGCATTTGATCAGTCATTGATAAATATCAGTAGATCGTGATTCAGGGGTGTTCTGTTATCACTATCATCATCAATGTCAGCTTTTATAGCTAATATGATTGATGCAATTGGCTATACATCTCTCTTGCTGGACTAATACATACACTGATATTACTAACTACAATAGACATTTACAGAGATCATATGACCAGCTGGATAAATAACATTATCATAATACAGTAAAAATAAAATCCTTAGCCACGAAAGTCGTGATTAACTCAGAGAAATGAAGTCCAAGTTGTTGATTTTCGACCAGACCGTCGCTATGTGGAGTTTCTATGGCAACGCATCTGCTTGGAAACAGCGATTTTATTTCGTGCAAGTAATTTGCGCATTCGCTTGTGAAGCACTTGAAARTAAATGTCAGGATAAAGGTACTTAGATATTGTCTTTTAGACTGGTTTAGCGGCTAAAGATCATTTTGTCCACACGACATCACGCAAAATGACACAGAAACACACAAAATCAACGCGATCGCTTTGGTTTTCTTGTCGTGAAATTGTAGATCAATCAAGCGAATTCTATTCGTGTGCTTTATTCGTTTAGTGCCATCAAAGTGTTATTGACATGTGTTTATAAATGTTTGCCTTACCGGCTTTATGTGTACTATATTGATGGCAGCTAATCGGCGTGCTGTCTCATTTATCACTATTTCCATATTTTTCTCATTTCGCTGTCGCGTGACTTCGTCTTTGATTGAAAGAGTATTTTCAGATAAGTCGCTTAGAGAACCTTTAGGGCCTGCTTGGAAGGCTTAGCAATTCTCTTTTTGTTTGATTAAAGATTTTCCAATATTATTTCCTGATTCTCATCGAGTCAATTTAATAATTTCYTTATTCTTTATTCATCTTTTCCTTGCTTGCCGGACATTAAAAGTGCGGTAATTTCATTGGATTTATTGCTTGTATTTCTAGGGYACAATATCTCGTTGAAGAACAGACAATTATTTATCTATATTAAAGAAATTCGCGTCTAATATAACGAATTTCACATGTTCCGACTTCAATACAAACTACTCCCATTTCCATTCAATTCGGCATATGTGTTTTATATGAAACCTCTTGAAATAGAAATTTTTCATGGTTTAATGGAAGTATATTGCTTTCTAATTTTGTAATGCGAAAACAGAAAACTTGACTCGTCAAAAATATTATGCGATTTATCTTGGGTACATTTTTTATCGCTAGTGACACGTGACTGCGTCGGTCACGTCAAAACCAGCAGAAACCAGAACGTTACTCGGTGTTTCTAGATCTTAAAGAAACCGCACTATTACTTACATAGGTGAGTAGAATACAGATATCTAAAGTTCATAATTKCATTAATGAAATATAAATCAATTCTGTTTCACAGTCAGAGAGGAAAGCCTTGCTGATATCGTTGTTTTCGATTTTTSTCGTGGTTTTAATTCGATCTCGCTGTTCGTCGATAGGTTCTTTTAACTGGTAAAATCTAGAAGAGAATATATTCGTGTAATTATTTTATTTTAGTGAAATTATGATGTGAGTGTCAACAATAGAGATATTCTAATTTCATGACTTTGTGCTATATTTTCTTTCTAGTATTAGAACAGGTTTTATAKCTAACTCATACTATGAGAAACATCGACACTAAAAGCAAAAAAGTGAATGATAAACTGGTTGTGCGGTTACGTTTTCTTTGCCATGAATTTGYAGTAAACAGAATGTTGTCCCGAGTCTATTATTAGCCAAGTTCATGGGTCGGCGAGTTCTAGTTTGCTTAAGGCTGTTAGATAAACCACTTAAGCTTAACTTGGATCACAAAATATTAATTTATCTCGCAAACGATTCGTTGATTTTTACACTTTTCAAACGAGTTTGCTTTCCTTCATGGAATCGAATTAGCCATCAGGGATTTTCTCTAAGCTTTACATCTGTACATCCCTCATTAGTCATCTCTTTTGGGAGTAAAAAACATGTTCATATTGATCTTGTATTTTCAAAGTACTGTGTGGGGAAGAAACGGTATYTTTTCACTCAGTACAATTTCAAATCGTTTCATCGATGAAGGAGCTCTCTACTGCTTTCCATCGTAATTTTAATTCATTTGTATTCTGGAGTAGTAATTTTATAGTATAGAAGTCGTTTTACGACAAACGCAAAGTATGTTTATAGTTTTTTATGAGTTTTTCGCCAGCAGTCTTTTATTATCTTATTGTTTTATTTCATATTTATTCACTGATAAATCTTTAATGACAGTGCATAAGTTCTATTACTTACAGATCGTAACGTAGAGTCACAAGATATTGTTTGCTATCATATAAACTCGTGAAAAAGACGGCTGACCACTCTTGGTGTTAGTTGTATTGTATTTTATTGCGTATTTTACGYTCTCTCACGCTGTTTCACGGGTTTAGGGAGACATCATCTCGCCACTATAACCCGTGAAACACTTTATCCTAGTACTCAATACGTTTCGCGTTCTATTGTGAATGACTGCGCTGTGTTGACTAGACTGTGCCCAGCTTTTGTGATAAACTGTCAATCATACGAGGATGCAGCAAACACAYCAAGCGCGGCTTCTTTCATGTTTTCAAATCAAGTGCGTGAAGCAACGGGCTGATGGTAATGAAATTGATAGTTATCAGCCTGCACACAGTCGAAGTTACAGATGGTTTTTGAAGCATTGCTGTTTTCTTTGTTATTTAGGTGTTTCAATTTCTCATTTTCCCGGCGTGACATGAGCCGATTGAGTCAGTTACCTTGTTATGTGGGAGTTGAGTCTAACTGTGACTTCCAGTGACTAACATAGTAATTACAAACATTTCTTTCTCTACTAGAATATATTTACTTCTTTATAAAACCATAAAGTACAGATAACGATTAACTCAGCAAAGAAGGAACTCCTACTCACAATTAGGGTTAGAATTTAAATTTAAACGGTATGCTGTTTTGTATGTTTTATGGAGTTCTTTATCATCAACTTCTACTTATTTATTTAACTTCTACTTYATTATAAACTAAACTTGACAGTTCTTTATTGAATTTTAATACTTTAATCCAAGATAGATATTGTGAACAAGATCACCCTATAAAGATAAAATATAACACGTTMATGTTACTTTTGGTTGTGCTTTTCGACTGAATTCAGTATATTTGAGATAAATCTTGCTGACTTCTTGAAACCACACCCTCAAATTGTAGATTCAGAGTAAAAATAACAAGAGTTGCTCG